TGTGTGTGTGTGTGGTTGGCATAGGTCGTCGGTGCGGTGTTGCTGTGCCATCCTGTGCGCAGCCAAGCCATTTTCCATTAGAATGAATCCCCCATGGACCCGGCAACTGCAGCTAGTAGTCAGCTGACTCAGTGATGGATGTGTGTGAAAGTGTCAAGCATGGTTCACGAGTAAAATATCAGTGCAATCGCCTCCTTCATGTAATCCCGTCAATGGGTTGGCTGCAATACGTTTATGACCTAACACATTTCCCTTTTAACTTCATTTGAAGCAGGGATATAGTACCTGTGCACTGAGCACTAATGTCATCAATTGACACTGTGATTACGTTAACAAGGATACCACATTAAAAAAACTTCCTGCATTTCGTATGAGCATCCAATTACTCATCCTCAAGCCAAGTAGTAACTGTACTGTTCTCAGATGTTATGATTTCATCGTTAAACAGTTTTTTCAAACTAATGAAACTTGTTCTTTTTTGCCTACCAAGGCTAACATTCTTTTATTTCTACCTTTATCCATCAAATGCTTTGCGCGCTGACTAATTGCAAACTTTTTAATACTAAAAACTAGATGCCATTAAACTCAAATCCTCCCTCTTTGATGCACAGGGAACCACCTGCACATCCGGAAGACGTTTTTTGGGTGAAGATGGATTGACTGGGGCTTTTACTGGTGAATATTAACTTTTGATATGCGACTGATACAGAGACAAGGCAATTTAATTATCCCACGAAACAAAATCACGATTCCACTGTCGTTGAAGTAATTGAAAATGCACAAGGTGATGGAACGTAAGAAGCAGTTAGTTGAAATGAATTTTCACTGCCTTTGATCCTCAACATCACTGTTACATCAGGACCGGAAAAACAAATGCGTTCTAGGATATTTCTGCGAGAAATAATTATTATTGTGTTGTTTTTTGGTAACTGAAGCAGTTGGTACATGCATGTACACAAAAGCGCACAAAAGGTCACTGGAACAAGCACCTATAGGGGAATAAACAACAACACGCACGCCAGACGGCCAGACGGACGCACGCAATCCCGGAAACAAAAAAAACGCGGACACAGTCCTCCGGTATTGTGGGATGATGCGACGTGAGGCGAGATGGTGGTGAACCATACGTCCTTACGCAATCAATGGCTTTTGTCTTCTTTTGCGGACGCGCATTGCGTGTATCTTACGCATACGGGCGCACCACCGTCGGTCTAAAACGGTGCAGTTCTATTGTGAGCCGCGTCATCATCGGCGCAAACAAGCACACAGGTAGATAGATAGGCAGACATGGGAAGCTGTGTGAGAGAGAGAGAGAGGGAGGCAGTAGAAGAGCCGGTGTGCACGCATCATTGCACACACATGAATGACCGTGTTACCCGAGATTGTGCACAAACCTCGATGTGCCCACTGATTACATCTCAGATACGTGCATGCATAAACACACGCATACGTGCATATGCGCGTGCGATGACCGCCTTCGTCTGTGCAGCACACACGCCGCGTGCTACACGCCGGTGATGGAATTGGCCAATCAAAGCGCAAGCTAGTCAGCTGGAGGTACGCATGCTGTTTACAATGATGGTAAAGCGGCACGCACGCACTACCATGTGACGCAGGGCGAATTAAGGGCATCTCTCTTCCCCCTCCCCTGGCTGCCTGCTTTCCTTCCTTCCTCCCTCCCTCCCTCCCTTTCACTCTCACGAACACCAACCGGTTTTCACAATAAACGCGGCACTGCCAGCTGTTGGGTAACCGCGCCTACACACTCTCAGGGATTATTACGCGAACAGTGGATGATTTCTATATCTTTGTCCACTTTACACTTCGATCTGGACTGCATCGCAAACACATTGTGAGTTTTACCTTTTATACATCTCTTAATGAGATACCTCATTCGCTCATCACCCATGCCGTTGGGTGACTGAGATCTGTATTAGGAAGTCGTGAATGATTGACAGGACTACCCTTGATTAGCTTCGCTATTATTTGTTTTTGGGTTTCTCACATCGACGTTGGGTTTACAACAACTTAATAGAGCACTCATTTGAAAAGAACGGTAGGGGAGGTGGGGAATTGGAGGAAGACAAGTCTTCACAAGCAAAGGCTGAACGTGTTAATCAAAGTCCTCACCTCACACACAGCATTCAGTGTTATCCCTTTCATTAACTGTTCACTCTCCGTCTCCTCTTCAGTATGTGTGTGCGCGTGTAGGAGGGAAGGAGAGGAAGTGAGAGAACTATAATAATTGACTACAAATGTGTACGCGCGAACGTACGTGGGGGTGAGGTGAGCAATCAGAGTCCATTGTATTACAATTTTTGTCTCCCGTGTTCCACCTCTGTGATTACCATGTGAGGAGTGAGCGTTGGATGGGGTGGGGTGAATTGGAATGGTGTGGTGTAGTGGGTGAGAGCGGACTGGGTGGTGAGAATGAAATGAGTAGAGGCAGAGAGGGATGTGTGTAGGGCACGCCCACGTCAGGATAGTACATTGTGGACACGAGTCGTTTTGTGTGAACAGTGCTTCGAAGACTATAGAGGGAGGTGGAGGCGTGATTTATGCCTGGTTGAGGTGAGACATTGCGAATGCAAAAATTGAAACCGCAAACTGATCTAACTTAGAAAATCTCATGTTGGGGATGATTCCGCATATAGTGCCAGGTATTAAAGCAAATTTCTGCAAGTGCACTATCATCTACATACGCTTTTTAATCTAATCACTTCGAAATTGAACATGATTAGGGCTATTCGAAGTGTACTTGCAGTTCTACTTAAAACCAAGAAAAATCTAAAGCAAAGCTGCAATCTCATTTCTTGTAGGTATTTTAAGCGTCTAAAAACTAGCAGGCAATTTGAGTCTTTTGATCCCTGGATCCACTTTACTGACCGTTCACATTGAAAAAGCTACGTATTGCTGGAGTGGTAGAACACAGCCATGGGGCGAGGGCAAAGACGCAAGGATGTTAAATTGGCTTCGTGGCTAGGGCGCCTTATTTTCTTCGAATTGCAAAGTTTTGTTCTATGTATTATCTGCACGCGAACATCTCCATACCTCCAAAAGACGACCACAATCTTTGTCTAAAACGCACAAATTCCCATCGTCCGAATTGGATAAATGTCATTAATAGGTCGAAATGAGTTGGAAGTCTCTTCTCTGTCCCCCTTACCGTCTATAGTGGTTAGAGAGGAAACTTCTATTGCGTAAAATAACAAAGTTAGCCATGGTATAAGAGCATTAATGGTGATCTAATTTGTTTGCACACCGATCCTCGAGACCACGGTGGACAGCGATCATAATGAGAAGTGAGTAGAGAGCACCTTATTTCATATTCTCAGCAATACCTACGTAGGGGCAAATTTACAAAAATCACAACTTCTTCCTGAGTTTACGCATGTTGACTCTAACACATCGCTTGGCATCGGCGGTGTTTTAGAAGAGGCAGTGAATGACAGAAACAGACTGTTAAGACTTGATTTGGACATTCATATAAACATCAACTGGAAATTCGACCTCTGACATCGCAAATTCGTTTTTGTTTCTCACTGGGTTTTTATCGTTCCTTTCCCTTTAGGTACGTTCCACCGCTATAACCGATGTCTTGGAAACGCAAAACAAATCAGCCTAACAAACTGAAAGAGCTATCTCCTGATTCGCCGTCTGTAACTGGACTTGCGCACAAATCCTCGAATACCTCTTCAATCGCTGACACTGCAGGAAGCCCTGGCGCCATGGAATTTGCCCCCTTCCTTACACATCCCTCCAACACAGGCTGCATTCTCAATCTTTCACCCAAAGCGGCGGTAACCACAGCTCCCTCCCCCAAGTCGCAGAGAGAGGCTGCCTCTGCAGACATCATGTCAATCCTTCGGGACACCTGCCTTTCATCGAACCTTAGTAGGGAAGAAAAGATCTCGCTTCTGTCCGAGGTAGCAAATCAAATCAGTGGACTCAAAAGGCAGTTGAATTCTTCACCCCTCAACACCAGCAGCAACAGTAACGGCAGTAAGGTACGTGTCCAGCTCATTCTGAACTTGACGTCATGGATGAATGCTTCAGTTCTCAAAGGAATGTTCCTTCGCACTAAACTTGAGTTCTTTTAACTTACAGCCAACTTCTTACTTGAGATGTTTGATTGACATTGTGCGTATTTTCCGGAAATATTGTTTAGAAATAAATTAATGTTGGCATCATCACAGGCATCTAGCATATCAGCATAATCCACACTGTGGCTTATGGTTAAGTTTTGAGCCTAACGCACTGGTGGGACTCACTACTTATTTGTGGCCTTACAGGTGTAAATCTCAATTGTATTTTATCTCATTATGCAAGGTGCTGGAACAGTTAATGATTGTCTTCACTCGTATTATCAACAAGTTCCTCCCAATCCGCTTTCGTAATTTAAATGTTCATTTGAGCATTAAGAGTGAAGCCCATGAAATGGTCATTCTGTGTGCTTATTCGGACCAGCGATCTGACCTTCTCCCTTGGTTTGCACCAGACCGCGAGTATATTGGCGCCAAGATGAACCTTAAAAATAAAAGAATATTACGATTCCTAATTTTGAATTGTCGTTGCGCTAATACTGTCACACAACGCGGCAAGGTTAAGTGCATTTAATGTATCATTTATGAGGATCCACCTGAGGTGTTTTAGGAAACAGAAATGAGCAGACATTTCGTCGATTGGAGCTCTCACGATTTCCACGTCTCCCCATCGCACGTAAGGCAACTTCTTTTGTGCGTTGGGGCTGTGCCATCCCATCTCTCGAAGACAGTGGGTATTCTGTGCAGTCATCATCGACATTCCGAAAACTGGAGCATTGTTCGAAATTCTCGGTCGGGACTTAGTCACCTCTCTCTTTCCTCCCGGTGGTACTGGAAGCAGACGCGCGCACATTTGTTCTTCAATTGTACCTTTATGTGTTGTGCTTGCCTAGGTGCGGGCATATGCGCATAGCACCCAAATTCTGTCGATAAGCCCGTAGTTGTCCCAGGTGGTCTGAAGAGCATCGAAACGTGTGTAACAAATGTTTCCAGGATGCTCCTTGCTGGACTCATAGTCCAGTTCGCATAACGTGTTTAGAGGAGAAAAGAATAAAGTGAGGATCATAGCATTGGAACTAAGAAATCCCTGAAGTTCCAAAGGTCTTACCATTGAAAAGGAGAACTTGATTAGATACAACCTGTACTTTGCTTCGGGAGCCGTGTTTGTCGAATCGAAAAAACACATTAACATACTTCAACCGATTCATTCATATAAAGTCTACTGAATTGTCAGGTAAATGACATTATATTAGATGGGATTCGGAAATTCAGGAAAGTGGAGTAAATTTTGACCTTCTTTATGCTGTTGAAATTGTGGAGTGAGATGCAAAACTTCAATAAGCGATCCCCATTTCAATTCTTTAATACGGCTCGTACTGTATCGAGGGTGAAGAGCAAAGGGTGTTATAGCCAATGTCAAGCTTCAGTTCTTTTTTTCTGACAGACTGATGATGACACGCCCCTGAATCTTACGCAAGAAAAACATGAAATCTCGGCAGAAAAACAACCAGAGTCACTTCTGTGGTGTGGTCAGGAGAGCGCTACCCCCAGTATCTCCCCCTTCCTCTTGCATGCCGGACTCATTGATACTGGCAAAATCAGTAGCATTCCCCCAAAACTTGGAGGCAATGAAGGTGAAAAACTTGCCTTCCCCATCTGTTCTGATCCATCCAAACTTCCGAATTACGTGAGTTTTCTATCTTCTTTAGTAATTACTACCTGAGGCCGAAGTTGTTGCTATATGAGTAGCTGAAAGAGTGTGAAGACACAATCGGTTCCTTTTGAAATTCTTCCATTGCTATGAGCTCTACTCCTAGCATTCGTTATTGTTCCCCTTTTCGATACACAATTTACTGCGGTCCCACAGCGTAGAACTGGGTTTTGTCCTAAACATGTAAATGAACTTGGTGATGAGGCGCATTTGAGGTAACTTCGCATCACTCCAAATGCATCTCTGAGGAAGCCATAAAATCGAAGCCGACGTGTGCTTAAGTAACTAGCGATTCTCTCTGGTCTCAGATCCTCTTGACAATCAGAAGTCTGTAAACCAGGTTTATGAGGAGAAAAGAAATTAATAAACCACAGCAAAGTGGTCGGCTAGTCCGTTAACTGAAACTTGTGAGCTTAAGCGAGCTAATTTTCGTGTTTCATGTTTTTTAATAAGCTGATTGGCAAAGAACACATTTCGCAATTGAAGAATGCCTTTTCTTTTCATTCATTAGGGATTTGTTGAGCTCCATTTCACTTCCCAAATACTACATGATTGGTTTAAAACTAGAGAAATGGAAAACCATTTGTTTTCTAAGGCTTTCTTTGATATGGTCTAAAATACGTAGATTTCGACATACGATAAATGACATTGAAGGGCTCGAATTTTTTGGGCAATTTGTTCGCTCTTCCCAAGAACTTAAAATTCATCAGGAAAGTCCCAAAGTATTGGTTTTTGGACGTATGCTACCCACGCCTGTATGGGGCATTCTCGAGTATTTGTAGTGTCCATGTGGTTTATTCCAACAGATGTCGCCTCTCGATGTTGGTGCGACGAATCCGTGCGATTTGTTGCTCAAAATGATTCAAGCCTGCCAACAAAACGCCTCCACCGGTCCACCTTGTAGTGAGCAGTCGCAGCAACAGCAACCGCCCATACCAGTGTCATCAACTGGTTCGGAGGGGAGCATGCCCGTCATCCCACTCGGTCTTACATCTCTACCACTGCGAGAGCCGTCTGTTTCCACAGGTCTCCCCATCCCTCTACTCAGCATGAGACTGGGGGACGCAAAATCAGAGCAGCAACTCCTTACTCACCTGGGTCTTGATCCAGCTCTTCTTTCCACTCTGCAGAATGGTCCCAAGGGTTTACCCCTTGGACCTCCAACACAATCAGGACGGATTCCTTCTGGTGACCTCTTTGCTTCACCAAAATTAGCCTTGTTGTCATCACAAAGCAATGGATTCCCACTAATGCGTCAATCTCCACCACTCCAGTCATCACATCAGGAGACGGAAAGCGAACAAAAGCCGAATCAGAGTACTGGATTCGTTCAGTCAAGAAAGGTGAGCATAGAGAGAATCCCAGAAAGTTACAAGATGCAAAAATAAGTATGAAAACTGCTAGATTTAGAATGTCTTCATCTGAAATAACGGTTGCATTTTAATCGACTATGTGGTTCTTGATTTCGAATAATAGTTGTTGATAACTTTTAAGCCGAGAGTGGAAGCAATGAAATTGTCTTATTCTCTTGCCAATGCCCACGTGCGTGAACACGGATTCTAACAATGACTCATGACAACAGTATGTGTGCACGCATGTGCACGAGCGAATGCCTGTCTGTGCCCTAATTTTGGATGCGAGGAAATTTTGTCCGAGGCCCAGACAACCGGCATATGCGACGCACCCACTCTCTTCGTAGTTATTGTTTTTACCCATTCAACCGCCTCTTCTTGC